ATAGACTTAAAATGTAGATAYACTTTATTATAAAGATGTTAATCTAGTGTTGTTCTAAGAATCCTTATGCATACWTATCAGATTCTATAAGCAGCCTGGCCAAATTAGAAGTATTAGAAAGAAAAACACCTTGGCTAATTTTTAATACTGGACTCCTAACATCTACTCTGAACACCCTTCACATTGTTGTACTAATGCTAATCAAACTTTAGTACCCTGAAAAGTGTTAGGTTAAAGGTAACTCAGTAAAGAAACACCACAGGAAAAGAATCATACAGAATTTTGATGGCTGTTTTGTAAATGGGTGCCTTCACTTGCTGAAATGATAGCAATGAGTTACAGGGAAGGGAGCAGGTGGAGCTGTGTTGCTGCCAAGATTCCCTGGGTGGCTCTGCATCCCTCCTCGAGAGTTTGTCGCCTTTACACACAACAGCTCATCAGGCAGCACCAAGGGCAACAACACCTACTGGTAGAAAATGCTCATCGATTCCCCTGTTACCCGTAAAACATCTGAGGAAGAGCAGAATGGAGAAGAAAGTGCTTCTCTCTTGCCCTAAAAATTACACTGGTTGTAGCAAAGACAAGCTCGACCTGAAACAAAAATTGATTCACTTGGGACAAGATGACACTCATGACTCCCTTGGGAAAGGGCGATGGCTTTGGGAGGAGCCYGTATGGAAACACCAGGGCTAGAGGAAGGGCGGCATCAACCAGAGCGTTGCTTCCTCCCCATCATCCTCCTGGCTCGGCTTTTGGCATCCTTCCCCTTTGTCTATCAGTCACCGTACGGCCCTTTCCTTCTCTGCCGGCCTGGGAGAGAAGGCTTTTGGCATCCTTCCCCTTTGTCTATCAGTCCCCGTACGGCCCTTTCCTTCTCGGCCGACCAGAGCAGCTGTCCTGGTGCTCCCAGGGCAGAGGAGGCCCCACAGAAGGGCCCTGTGGAGGGCTGCAAGCCACCCCTGGGTAGCCATTGCCCCCGCCTTCACTGCCAGCAGTGCACGGGSCAGCCCTCCCTCCCTGCCTCCTCAGCAGCAGAAAATGAACTGGGTCGGTGGCAGTCGGTGAGTGAAACTCTTCAAATCTGACAGAAGCAGCTTCATGCTGTGTCAGTGTCCCTCACAGACCGTGCACCACCATGGTGTGTTTAACAACCCTACTTTTCCCTCACAAACCAGGCACTGCCATGGTGTCCCCTCACAAACTGAACACAATCATGGTGCGTATTTCAGGCCTCRTTTCCCCTCACAGGCTGGGCATAGCCGGGCGGTTTGTGACAGCACCAGTGTCTTTCCACAGACAGTGGTGCCACAGTGTGTGTTTCAGGACTGCTGTCCCCTCACAGATCAGCAGGCTGTGGTGTGTGACAGCCCTGAGTCCCCTCCTGAGCCAGACTGTGAAAAGGTGCTGTGCCCTCCCACCCCAGGCCGGCATTCATGTTTGGGCTCAGTGTCTCTCCTCAGACAGGGGCTGGATGAGGCCCTTCCTCACACCCTCACAAACAGCAGTGGTTACCATCTGGGCAAAAGATGTACAGGTATTGAGGTTCACTGAAACAGTAAAACATCACAAACTGTGTTGTAATAAAAAAAAAAAAAAAAAAAAGGATAATCATCAGTTTCATTAGGTGAATTGTCAGTGAATGCTGACATTCACTGCTGCTGTGCCCTTCTGCCCATCTACTAAAAATGTAAACCCCTCAGGTTTTGTCAGTCATTGGGAAGCAGCGTAGCTGAACACAGCTTTATAATCATCCAGACTTGATGCAGAATCAAACTGAAAGAACACCCTACCCATCTGCACGTGTTCCCAGCAAACTGGGTCTCTGAATGTTGCCTCTGTGAAGCAGGAGGAAGGGGGAGTTTCAGCTAGAAAAAAGCGCAAAACACCAACCCCAACTTTGTCCTAAATGCCTGTCTGTCATACTTTCTGTAAGAAAACACAATGTGTAGGACTACTGCACACATTTAGCAAATAAAAATCAACCTGCTGCTTGCTGCTGCTGGTAGTACCTGTTAGGGTTCCTCAGSTGAATCTGGGATTTGCATTTTAGGCGTCAGAAAAATTCTCTTCAGTGGGGTTTCTCCCCATTGCAAGGGTGAACGTTATATGCATTTGTTTGGAAAGATTGTTCTAAGTTTAAGCATGAAATAAGAAAAAAGGTTATTCTAAGGGGATACTCCATATTTATAAACCTCAAAAAAAAGTCCTTATCTTACTGGGCTAGGACTGCAGCCATGCTTACTCTGCTCACAGAACAATAACCCCCAGTTCCAAAATTATGCATCAAGTCCTGTAGGCATTTCACTTAAAACTATATTTTACAGGTGAGACAAGTAGTTGGAGGTATAACTTTCTCCTATATTGCACAAATAACAGCAACTTGTAGTGTCAATCTGTTTTTCTTTCCTGTTTTACAAAAGTAAAACCAGTATTCTGTAAAGTCTCAAAAGCTAAATCTCGTATATTGCTCCTTTGGTTTTTTGCATAGTTTTGTAGCTATGTATGTTGTAGCATGATAAAGAAAATTAGGAGAAAATAATATATTGACAAAGATTTCATAAGTTTTAAGAAATTACAAATTGATGAAATGTTGCATTACAAGTCAAATGACTAAAAGCTTTTTCTGCTTTCTTTTTTCATGCTAAATGTATTTGGTAGCCTAATATAGAACATGGTCCTATCCTTACCGGAGTAAACTAGGGTCAGTCAAAATTACTTCAACAGAGATACGTTGACCTTACCACCTGCAGTTTTGATCCATTATACCATATAGCTTGTATTTGTATCCTAAAATCTCAGTACTATTGATGAGAAATTCAAGCCATGATTCAAGAYGATATTTTTGCAATTGAAATAATTATTTATATTTTCCAGGAGCAGAATCTTATTAAAGCAGGAAAGGAGAAAACAAAAGGTAATCCGTTTCAGCCATATTGGATTTTATATTGTTATATAAATGCTTGAGTGGGTTCACTTAGGTAAAACTTTCAAGGCAATTGAAGTGAGATTCAAAACAGTAGCTGAACAGTTGCAATGTGTTTGCCCAACTTTAAGGGCAAAAGTCTTGCTCTRCATTTACTTCACTGAATTACTGCAGCAAGATGAGGTAACTAGAGAAGGCGTGAATGAATGAATGACTGGGCCCAATTTTAGTTTTCCTGGATTACTTCTGCTACCATGTTGTGCTGGTATGTGCTGACACATGGGATTGCCTGAAGCCTCACAGGGATAACCACGAGGTCCGCTGGCCTAGCTCACACATACACAGCTATTCTTCTGGGCCACATAAAAGGATGTTAGGCTCACTAAAGCGCTTTATCTGGCATTTGCTAAAGGAGGACAGCTTATTTGTATTTTGAATCTGAAAGTGAAGTAAGAGAMTTAAACTTATCCCTGGCATAGCAGAAGACATACCAACAGGAAAGAGAAAGAAAACAGTAAGAGAAAATGTCTATAACCATAAGTGGAGTCAGTTTCCTCCTCAGCAGCAGCAAAGAAAGAGACAGTACAGGGAAGCTCCATCCCTGAAGCTGATATTGCCAATGCCCAGAACAGGTGCACAGGCATATAGATGTACAGGAAAAACAGGCTGACTGTATGGAGAAAATTACTGAAATTAAAACTTTACATATGAGAATGTAGGACCAATCAGCAGCTTTTCCTCACTGCTTTCCCGGTTTCCTGGAGGCCTGTAAGTGTGTCTGTTTTCTCAGGGATTACTGGTCTAGGCCATGTAATTTATATTRCACCTATGAAATTTGCATTCAGTGGAGGAGGAGAAACAGGAAAATATTTAAGACAGGATTTTTTTTTAGTAAAGTAGGACTAAAGTACCAAACACAGTAGTAGTTGTCTAATTGCTATTATGCAATTATTAGTAACTTAGTAATTTAAAGGTGATGGGGAAAAAATATCTGGGACACTGAAGGGATGTGAATACATCTTAGGGGCATGGACCCCAAAGTAACATGAATTTTCAGGTGTTGATTTGTACACAGGTTGATTTTACCTTACTGAACATATTCTTCTTAAACCATAGATGATATCATACTAGAAAGCTAAAGATAATAATGAATTATACTGAAAAATAGTCACCAATGAACATGTTTGGTATATTAGTTACATGTAACCTGCAATCAGGAGAGGAATTACATTTCAGAAGAAAAGCCAATGTTATTTTTTGTTTTGGCACAGCCTTCAGTTTTCAATATACTTCCTATGGTTAGAAAAAATAAATATTACTGTGTTTATTTATTCATCTGCTGTACTTGATGTTAATGATTTTAAGATGGTTATTAATAGTCTCTACAAAATGGAGGGGTTGTCTCCTTTATTATTGGCCTCATATATTCAAAGTCTCAGTCATATATCTTTTTATTCCTTGTAACAAAAATGCTTTCTGAATTCCCAGTCTTAGAGACTTTTATTTTTTAGTTTTGTTCTCTTTTTTTTNTTTTTTTTTTTTTTTTTTTTTTTTTTTTTTTTTATTGTCAGAAGATTATATTCTTTGTCAAGAAAAACAAATTTGGAGAACAAGAAATTGTTTATGTCATTATAGATGGCACATCAGGTGTATGTAATCTTGCTGATTTTTTTGCTTATCTTATCCATTCCATAAAATGCCCAAGTTTACATTTTTTTATGACTTTGTCCTTGTCACATTTGTTATCCTTTATTTTAAAGAAACGTTTTTAGTGATTGTACACAAAATTTGCAAAACGAGTGTTAAAGGACTACATTTTTGGCATCAAGATAACAATGATTTATTTTGAATATGACCAAATTATATTTGCATTCTTTTTCAAGGCAATAAAAATAAATTAAAAACAAATGGGGTGTGAGAATTCAGAGATATTTAACCATGTACTTTTATTACTAGGAATAGTTCACTAAATCTTGCTAATTTCAGAAGGATTATCTATACTGGTAATGTGTTGTTCAAGCTCCTGTCTAAAACCTATTTTCTCCTTAAAAAAATTAAGGAATACTTTGAAAGAAAGAAACTTAAGTCAAAGATGAAGCTTCTGGAAGTATCATCTCCTAGAAGTTCAGCAGTCAGTTTAGATCTTCTTAATCTATATGTGGTTAACCAGATATCAATCAAAAAAGAAAACACTGGTGAGTTTTGGGTATTCTGACTTCTCAGAATCACTTGTTCTTAACTATTACTGCTCTTGTTTTAGTTCTTGTTCTTCCATTTACAACTTAACCATCAAGTAAGTGTTGTTTTATTTTTAAAATTAAAAATTTCACATTAATACAAAAGTTATGACTAAATAAATAATCAGGGCACAAGAGGAATCAAATAACCTTGACTACTGCCTACTTCACCTTTAAAACCTTGTTCAGTGTCCTGGTACCAGACCACGCCAGGGTTAATGTTTGCAGTAGCCAGGAGAGGCACTGCCAGGAACCTGAGGTTATTCTATACCTCCTTGCATCATGCACAGGGGCAGCAGGGAAGGAGTTTCATGCAGTGGGGTAGCAGGAAGTGAGTGGCTGGGGAGCGTTATGCTCGGTGTGGTGAGCACCTGCCTGTGAATCATCACTCTGTTATTGTTGCTGTTACAGTTCGTTTCCTATTTCATTGTTGTTTCCAATAAATTGTTCTTACCTCAACCCATGATGTTTATCTTTTGTGCCTCCAATTCTGCTCTCTATCCCACTGCAGAGGGAGTGGGGAGAGGGAAAAGGAAAGGGAGAGGGAGGTGGAAAAGAGGGAGATGGAGAGGAAGCAAGCAGCACGTGGTTTGGAGTGTTTCAGTGGGAACACTAAATCGGAAATTATCATTTCTAAAGCACTACACACACTAATTACATTCCCCATTCTATTCATTAATTTCACCAAATACCTACTTATTTTTCTCTTTGCTGTTGAATAGGTCCATTTATCATCCACATCCTTTTTCATTATTTTTGGGGCATTTGGAATAGTCTTGTCACGTCTACCTTCTACCTAGATTATCTTTCTTAAAATCCATTATTAAACTTCTAGAGAAACATCACTAAAACTTGACTCCTAGCTCTTTAAATATAGATGTGGGATCTGGTTTRGTAGTGGACTTGGCAGTGCTGGGTTAATGGTTGCATTCAATGATCCTAAAGGTCTTCTTCAAACTAAGTGATTGTATGATTCTATGATTCTTATCATCTGTGGCATATTCATTAACCAGGTATGGAAAATTTGTTGTCCTATGATCAGAAGGGTGACAGAGGAGGGCGACAGAACCTGTCTACACACAGTGGCTGACTAAATGATTTTATACTATTGTGCCATCTAGAATAGAGTTTTTGTATTGTTAATAGCAAAGAAAGCAACAAATATACCTTTTAATGAATTAAGAAATCTAAAATAATAGCTTTTGTACTCTAATGAAAATTCAGAAACCTCAAAACTTTCACTAACATACTAAATCCTTTCATTGCAGAGAATTTGAGGAAGCCAGTCCACATTGATATCATTGAAGATGAGAAAAAACCTATTAGGAGATATAACTTAGAGCTTCCCACTTCACCCCTACGTACACAACATAAGTCAAACTTAGATGATCTCCAGAGCAGGTACTTGTGTCAAATAGGCAATAGTTTTGCAATAATGAGGTTCTGGAAGACATATTCCATGACAGCCTTTCATTTGGAGTGTTAAGGAAACACAAACCTACTATTGCAAACAGAGAACTTTCAAAATCATTCCTGTCATKCCAGTGATATTCTTACTCTGAGAGAGTAATTAATAAATTCTGAAAAAAAACCCCACATGAAGCTGAGAGATTTTAAAAGTAACATATCTTTACTCATATCAGGTGCATACAGTAACTTTATCTCAATGAGCAAGTTATTCAAAGCATAGACAGCTTTGACASAGTAAAGTGACCAACTCACAGACAGGCTGCTCATAACTGCTTGAGAATCAGTCYGTTTTAAGGCGTATGGGAAAATATTTCTAAATTATTTTAAAATCAATACTCAGAATATTCTAATCTTCTGGATCTTGTATTTAATAGGATGTTTTTGTTCATTTTACAAGGTTACAAAAGCAAGTATTGGACAGCAGAAGACAGCATCTCTCAGAAAAAGTGAAATACCAGAATAATGTAAGTTTATTGTTCTTACAAGACTAAAAATGCGCAGTAATTTACTGTATTTTTAAGTGATTTTTCAAAGAGTGACCAAATCTCATGGATACTGAAACATGCGTCTTCTTCCTCTTTAAGACTATATTGATATATTCTTTTCTAGTCACATTTTATATTTGTTCCTGCTATTGCTTACATATTTCTTGAAAGGTTCAACTTGTTTCAGGCATTTTCCAAATTATTTCAGAATATCTGTACTTTACATTAGTCATGAAGGACAGAGATTATGGGAAAGAGACTGAGAACAACAGCAGGTAAATTAAAAAATATGCAGAAATGTGAAATGATGGAATGGAAGAAGCATAAATGGAAGTCACTCTTTAAGAGGAACTTAAGTCCAAGCCTCAGTGAATAGAATTRGAAAATTCATACATGTATTGAAGTTACCATGAAAAACATTCTCTACATGCAACTTAGGCTTTTTTTTGTGACCCATTCAAGGGTTGCTTAAAAAAATAAAACAACTAAAAATRAWGTTAGTAATTTCTTGGAAGACTCTTAGATTACGTTACTCAGACCCRCTCCACTCACTCCTGCTGTTCACATCAGATAGAAATTTGAAGAAAAGATGCTTGCAAAAGATGTACAATGTTCTTCTGTATGGTATTGGTGCATTCATTTTGCCAAAACAGTTTTCCTAGAGTTAAAAAGACAGATGTTTTTCTAATGTTCCAAGTTCCTTTCTTTTGAGTCTGAAAGAATTATTTAGGATGGGTGAAAATTTTAACTGTCTAATGTGTTTCAACCAAGATCACCATGAGCTGCCGCTACTTTTTTTACTCTAACATTAAGTCAGCTTCCTTAATGCCCCCTTTTCATCTGTTTCTTGAAGAGGGAGAGGACATATTTCAGATTTAGTGTGTCCAGAAATTATGATCAAAATGATAGCTATGTTTCTCCTCAATTTACACCTGCATGGACAAATTAACATCAGTTTATCAAAACWTGTGATAATGCAGCCTGTGCACACAGAAAGCTAATTTAATGTACAGATCAAAAAATACAGTCTAAGGCCTGTATGTTGCAAATAGCTGTTTTGAATGTCTTCACAAGTTGAAGTACATCCAAATTAAGTAATTGCAATTTTTCTACTGTATTAATCAGGCTGATGGGCTATAAAATTATTAAATTTCAGCTTTACAGGAACTTGCAATTGTGTGGTACAAGATTCTGCGCAMTTAATGTTCAAAGCTTTTGCACCCCATTAGTAGTTTCATGTAGCTGAGGATACAGTGACATTTCATGGGTTTTGTCWTTAAATTTCTCCTCGTATTCTGTTTGGCTTGATGTAGCATTGTTCGTATCACAACGATAGTCTAGAGTTCTCTTCTCAATGGAGTAAAGTACTTTTCATTTTACTTCTTAAGGACCAGCTCAGCAGATGATTGGCTCACACATCTAAAACTAAAAATGTATTTATATCCATCTCTCCTTAGGATAACAGTTGTGTGCATGCTTCAGATTAAGTAGGTACTTACGTGTTTCCCTGATATAACCCTTAAATTGCCTTAAGTGTTTCATGAAAAAGTCCTATCAAAATATATGAAAATTTTCTCTTCCTTGTAGTTTTGTGCAGAAATATAGAAGATATAGAAAGGCTTGATTACTTTGAACTTCTGCTTAAAYCAAAAGAGTTTTAGATAAATAAAGTATCACTTTGTTCTGTTTTGTCTAGCTATCACGAGTAACAGAATTAGGCTATGTTGATTCTAGTATGGAAGATGAAGACAACAGGGAAAGAGCTGTTAGTGGTCCTCCGTTGTCCTCTTCTGGCTTTCAGCTCTTTAACTGTACACAGCTTTCAGAAGAAAATGTCAACACTAACTTAATGGGCAACATGTGGGAACAGACCTATGAAAAGAAGCTGCAAAACCAGGTTTGGTTAACATTTTACTTCCATGGAATTATTTTAAACTAACTTTCATTTATTTGGTATGCGAAACTAGGGTAATGATGAAGTTAATTACGAGTGATCAACATTTCTTGTAAGCTGGTGGCAATGAATATTCCGTATATACAAATATGTCTCTTTTGTTGTTCTGAAATAAACTCAACTTGAGCTTTTGTTCACTGAGCTCTCAGTATTGCTGATACTTGCAGAAAGATAATTAGTCACATACTGCTGGCTTTCTTTTGTTTCCGGCTTGTAAATTTGGTTAAAGAAAGCTGAAATGTATTACAGTTATAAATACAGCTTTCTTAAACACACAGTTAGTGTAACTGGATGTTGCATGATCCCAGGTGATCCCATGACCTAATTTTTTGTCTTGTAATGTCTCAGTGAGTAACAAAGTTCTTACAGAATTCTCCATGCTCTAAAAGGATTGAGAAAAGCCCACTGTTTAACTCATTACGTTTAAGAAACAATTAAAAGTTATTTGTTCTGATGCATATTACTGTTTTTTTCTTAACTTTGTGATTCTTAAAAGAATGATCCTTAGAAAAATGATAGCAAATACAATATGCTTTATTTTTGGCAAATACATTATTCATTGGAAATAATACAACAAATTCTAAATGTTTCACCATTGGTATTCTAAAGTCTTGAGGTAAGGGAGGAAGAAGTTCTCCAGGGGTGTCAGAAGGGGAAATGATGGGTTGTTCAGGAAATGAGTGGGCCAAAATCCAACGGAAGATGTCCTGAAGAACAAAGAAGCCCAAGAAAGATGTTTTCAAAACACAAGGACAGTCCACCTCTGTGTGCAAGAGAATGATTAGATTCTGGAGACCTGTTTGGCTGAATCAGGGAACTCCTGACTGAGCTCAAATGCAAAGAGAAAGTGTGGAAGGAGGGACGGACAACCCAGGAGGAGCAGAGGAGCATTCCCTTAGCTTGGAGGGGTGGCATTAGGATGGTCAGAGCTGAAAATCACAATGGGTGAGAAGAATAACAAGGAGGACTTCTGTAAGTGTGTCATCAAAGAAAGGAAACCAAGGAAAATGCTGTCCATGGCTAAATAGATTTGAGACCTAGTGACAAAGGACATGGAAGAGTTTGAGATACTCAAAAGCTTCAAGTGCTTCAAGCTTCAAMTTTGCTTCAAGTGTTTTAAACAAGTTGTGCTCACTGGATCACTTTAAAACACTGTCAAGAGTAAAGGAAGAGCTGTACAAAGCAGTAGTGAAGGAACAAGTTAGAGAATCCACTGTAACATCGACATATATGAATAGATGAGACTGGACAGAGTCCATCCAAGTATATTCAGGGTGTTGGGTGATATCACTGCAGGGCAGATATTTATCATCCTTGTAAGACTGTGGTGATCAGAAAAGCTTCCCACAGAAGAAATACACAAATGTTATGTCCATCTGGAAAAATGCAAGCATAATCTGTTGGAGCATCATCTCACCTCTGTCCCTGGAAGGATTAAGGACCTAAGCTCCCGGAGGCAATTCCAAGGTGCATGAGGAACAAGAAGGTGTCTGCAACCAGCCATCAGATTTTTCAAGTTCCTACTCTGCCTGGTGGACCCAATTGCTTTCTGTGATGAAATTCTAGCTCTGTGAATTAGAGAGAACAGCAGGCATTATTTATCATGACTTTAGGAAGACTGACAAGGCTTCCCCTGGGATCCTAGTAGCCAAAATGGGCACCAATGAACCAGATGAATGGATGATAGTATGCGAAAAACTGTCACCATCATTCTCAAAGTAGTTGTCTAAAGTGTTGGCTAAAGGCTTTTTTTGGTAACAGTTGGGCTGTAAGGAGGTTTGGGCTTCTACTGTAAAGATAAAAAGAAACAAATTAGTKGGAAAATATGTATATTGTTTGCAAAATGAAGTTGAAAATTTGAAAGATTATAACCATTATGTATATTCAGAGTTTGACATCTACTGTTTTCTCAGCCAGGAAATAGTTTTGATCAAGACCCCTGGAATATAAAACCTCCAAGCCAGTGTATTTTCAGGAAGTGTGAAACAGAGCCCCAGGAACTAGTTGAGCCATTTCATAGGTAAGCAGTGATTTTACATTAAAAAAAATAACAGTCAAGTTTAATAAAGAAATATACTAAAATAATCTGAAGCTTACTGTTACTTGGTTTTTACACTGACTTCTGGTTTTTCAAATAGAAATTGAAATCAAATGGAAATACTAAATATACAAACCTATTTAAATTTGCTGAAAGGCAGCAAAATCTGAATTTTGGGTAGGAATTATGATCTATTTTTTGCAATGTCACAAACATGATGGTTTTGCTGCCATGAATGGCAGCACTGATTCACTAAGAGGCCATGAGGACAGGGGAAGCTGCCCCAGGTGTTATTAGTTCTGGATACTGTTGCAAGTGCTTTTCTGATGGTCTTAATGCAGAAGCAATTAAGCATCTCTACCTATACTGTTTGTACTTGGGATTCCAGGAATAAAGCATTTGCTTTCCTTCTCTTTCATATGTGATCCTACTAGAGCTTTCTTTTTTCCCCTATAATTGATTTATAATACTTTTATGAGAATATACACTTTGTTTTTAAAAGAATGGATAGAAATCAAGAGTATATTACTTTTTGTATGTGCTGATTAAAAATCTTTCCAATCTCATATGGTTTATGGTCAGACTCATTTGTGCTGAATATTTAATTTCATTTTCTTTCCCAGGGCTCTCCCTTGAATCTAGAGGTTTTACATAGCTAATCTTACTTTACTCCTTTTATTCCCTAAGTCTGCCACCTGGTTGAAAATTCCTGTCCATCTCTAGCTTGGGCTGGATAGGGACACAGATAGGCTATATAGTATTTTACTGTTGCTGAAGTGCCTACAGCCTGTTTGGGGAGTCAAGTGACTGATAAACTCACCGGCTAAATGATGACTAGACACACCAGTCACCTTTAYTTCCACTCTTGTAGCTTCTTATGACTTTCTCCAACAAAACCTAAAATAAACATAGCACTAAACTTGCTGTATATCTTGGTGAATTCCCAATTAATATCTTTCAATCAAAGCCCAACATAACCTTGTCTCACCTACACCTCTCCTTTCATTTTCCCACCAATAATTAGGCCTGCACTCATTTGTTTATGACACTTCCTCTCGTCTTCTACCCATTCATGGCTCAATAACAACACCGCCTTTCCAACTAATCTTCAAATCTATTTCTTTATAGTGTCCCTGTTTTGTTTTCATCCACTGTAGACAAAATGCTTATAACTCAAGAGGTCATAATTCTTTTGTGAAGGGAGTTTTTCTCACTGTATATGAAAAGCAGCGTAAATTTATACAATTTTTTACATACTGAGGATGTAATCAATGTGCATAATTCTGYGAGCTGTAGCACCTCAAGGCCATTATATATTAATTAAAAATTTTACATTTCATATTTCCTCATCTACTCTTAGCTTTTACTTTGCATTACAAAATGTTCAGCTGGAGTTGAGAAAGACTCTCTGAATTGCTTCACAAAATGGTTTTACCTTTCACATATAGATCTGTCCAAGTATCTTCAAGAGCAAACACTAGTGYGTTTAGCCTTCTAAAACTGTTCTGGAGAGGTTTCTGTAAGTAGAGGAAACTTACAGAAACCATTAGTTTTCATAGAATCTTTATTCAGTTCCAAGTATTTGCTGATCAAAACACCACAGAATTTTTCTCCAGTAAGATTTCTTTATACTAAATATAAGTTTTCCAGTTCTATTGATATCATTGCTCAGAATGCTTTAAAGAAAGGGTCTTTTTTGAATGGCCTTTGCCATATCTCTGTCCTTCAGAAGAATCTCAGCTTTTTGCTCAGTTTCTGAAAGGTCAGTCAGCAGATCCAGCCTGGAAAAAAAACCAGTGAAAATGTTAGACTAAGAGCCAAGTCTGTAGCTTGCAAGCTGAAAGCTTTCATGCTCATGATGCTTGAGTGATAACATCTTCAGAACCACTACTCTCAGAAGTGGGGTAGGGAAGTAGGAGCATAACAAAATGCCTGACTGGCCTTTTGACAGTGGAACAGAAAAGTTCTGTGCTGAATCAGGATTACTGTTCTCAAGTACAAATGAAGGTCATTTATTATGGGCTTTCAGTATGGGAGAGAAATACAGTCTTGGAGAACAAACCACCTTTACAAATGGAAGAAACTTCCTCTTTATTTCCYCCCTTTTTCTCCCTGAAGTGGCTGCCTTTGGTCAGCTGGTGGAGCACCAGTGACATACTGTGGCTGTTTTTATAAATCACAGTTTCCTCTACAGGACGATGTGCTCCATGGCTTTGTATATTTGGAGACATTAGGAAATATAACCCCTCTAAAACAATATTACTATAAAGCAGATAGAAATATAATAAAATGTGCACTTTTTCAGATGAAATACTGTACATTTAGGACAAAAAGAAAGTGTAATGAGCAGTGAGGTCGCAGTGAAGTCTTTAATATTTTTATCAAATCATCATAAAGTATTGTGCTGGAAGTCAGTAATTTGCTTATTTGCATATTAAGCAAAATGTGTTTTTTCTTTTCTACCCCTGTTACACCTCATCCCCTACCCCCAGGCTAGACCATATGAATTCTGCCAGGRAAAATCCAGTGATAATGGCCAGTAAGGAATCAGAAGACTGCGAAGGAATAAAAGAACCAATATTTGATATTGTGAAAGAAACTGCAGAACTGAAAGGCCCCCAAGACAGAAGTGGCTTCTCCTTTCTGGCACTATTTGAAGATGAGAACCAACCAAACCATAATAATCCTTCCACAAAACATTTTAATTCTTTTGCTAGCCAAAGCAATGCTAACATTTTTTTCACTGTTCCTGATGTAAGAAATCAAATGACCAACAGAAATTGTTCTTATGATACTAGAAAAGATTATCCTGCAATCAATGCAAAAGAAATTTCTGTAGAGAGACGCCTTGAAGGCATTTTCACAGCTCCAGRACAGGTTTTCTTTAAAAGTAACAACACCTCAAGTGCAAGTTACAAGGAAACCAGTGGACTTGATAACACTCACCTGCAGAACTGTCATAATGGACAGCGCTACTTCACACCCTGCGAAAAGAAAGAAAAAAAAGCACACCTTGAAAAGATCGGTGAGTGTTAACTTTACAAGGACATATATTATACTGGGTTTTATTCTCCTTTTAAAGACATGTTCTTGTAACCAGAAATGTATTACTCCAACTGAAAATGTCCTGAATCTTAAGAATGTAATAACTTAATTTTAAATCCAATTATTTAAATTATTTAGAAAACTTGATAGAAATCTTTATATTTGAATTGCATTTATTCTATTGCATTTTAAAATCAAGGTTTACTTTTTTTTTTATTTTAGAGACATTTGCTTATCATCATGATCAGCAGAATAGCTTAAAGGAGAATGTGCAGACTTACTCAGGAAAAAAATTGTGAGTCATGGAAATTACCAGTCTGTTAACTAGTGATAGCTGCAGAGACTTTGCTGAATTGGAGAAATCCTGCTAAGAGGGCAAGAAGGCAAAATTCTAAACAGTATTACTGAGGACTCGAATTKCCTCAGGGAAAATAGTAGTTTATAATGTGAATAAACTTATGCACAGGTAATCCCATTATGCCTTTGTGTACCTGCCCGTAATAAGTACACAGAAATACTGCTTCATTTGGAGTTCCTCAAATTAAGTTGATCTGGCTTGCCCTCTAAAAGACTGTCTCATTCCACTGCCTACAGAGCAAGTATCTTCCCTGGGCTATGTGAGTGCCCTGTGCTTTACAAAAGACTTGTTTTTTAAAGATTCTGATATATAGCACCTTAAATTTTATCTAAATGACTATCTTCTGTCATTGCTTCAATTCCATTTTGCATTTCAACAGAAGTGAAGTTTATGAAAAACATATCCTTGGTGTTAAATCAGAGGCAAGTTCACTGATCACAGTAATAGGAAGCATTTGATGGTTACTGAAGACAAAATAAAAACTGAAGACAGAAAAATCACCAATAAAGACTAACTCAGAAAGAAAATAAAAATACAGGGGGGGAATCACTTACCAGAGAACTTTGTGTTTGCATTCCTCAGTGATAACAAGTCTATGAAAGAAACAGCCTGGAGTCAGAACCRTCTCTTTGTATTTGGAGAGGTAACTTCTTAAAAAAACATATTTTTTTGTCAAACCTATTGTTTGCTCAATTTATTTGAGGTGGAGAAGATTGTCCAGAACAGTTAGAAACTGAATATATCTTTACTGAATTAGCTACTATGGAAGCTTCTTTTTCACCATGGTTTATGTAAGGAATTCAGAAAGAACTGCTTCTAGTGATATGGCTCAACCATATCAGTGTCAGATGACTGGCCTTTTAGGACCACAGTTCACATGGTTTAATTCACATCTTAACGGATGCCTGAAAGACACTTTGTAAGTTACCCATCAACACTTGGGATCAGGTTCTGCAGGCAGTGTCCAGCTATTCTATGTAGGATGCTTCAGTATTATAAAGGATTATTATTTGTGCCAGTACATGTATAAAAAATGTTTCAGGCGTCTTGCCTGTAGCATTCACCCAGACACATACAGTACTCCTCAGGGCTACAAATACCTCTTAAAATGATTTGTACAGTGCAATTATTCCTTCATGTAATACAGAAACTGAATGCTCCTCTCTTAACCTGAGATGCTGATCCAGCTGAACCGTCATTATTAATATCTTATTATTTTTAACAGTTCACAACAGCACAAGAGAAAGAATATAAGTTTGGAGTGAGTTCAAATTTTCATGAGATGGAGAAGGGTTAGTAACATTTATACATAATSACTTAAATTTTTTTCTCCACATGGGAAACTAAAACAGTGACTTTTAAAGCCAGGGGAAATTATCTTTTTAGGATGTCACATTTGATGAGGGCTGATTCTGATTCACACAGCACTGTAAAAAGACAACTAGCATTAGCAGGTAGCTAAGTACTACCTGTGTTTGCTTTTCCTTAAGAGATGATGTTCTTTTCCACTATGCTGTCCCCAACATGTGGACAAAGGGAGAGGAGTCAGCTAGGCAATCCTACATCCTTCCTGCTCTCTCTGTAGCTGTAGGGTCAGGTGTGCTGGCTGCGTTTCAGAACAGATCTCTCAGAAGACCCAAGAGAAAAACATGTAACTTGTATGGCAGCCAGCATGCACATGAAGTCTTGCTATGTTCTCTCGCAGCCTGTGCTCTGCACAGCCCATCCTCCTTTTGGGCAGCACAGTTCAGCTGCTGATTAACAGCACAGCTGAGGCTTTGGGGAACCCATCTCACAATTTCTGTTAAGATGTGTAGACCTGTGAGGAGAAGAACTGGCTATTGCTAAGAACTAGATAGACCTCACCAACATTTTGTTCTTTAAACAATATCTTAAAACCACATCAGAAATAGTAATGTTTAATTCTGCATGCTGTACTTGAGAGGTGGATCTTTGGGAAGTTTTTGGTGAGTAACCTTTCTTTCTTTTTAAACTAATTTTTCAAGATGTGGAGTCGCCACTCAGCAGCCAGTCTCACAGTTACTCTCCAAGGCAGACTGAGACCTGTTTGAGCTCTAGTCCTGACACAGTGAGTAAACCCTTCGTGAGCTGGCAGGGCTTCATTTGAATCATATCTCTATGCCTGAGTGCACCTAAGGGTGGATGTATCTGGAATCTCATTTTGTTTTATATGAGACAACTTCATGTGTAAGGTGGAAAAGTAATTATTAGCTGTAAATTTTCCTAAGTAGTTTGACAGACATGTGGTCTGTTCTCTTGATAATGACTGGCTATGTGGAATTACAGTAGCGTGACTGGGAAGTTGCAAACCAGGGTTCTCTGCTCTTCCTGGATGTATAGCTGCCTTACATTATGTGCCTGTAAAGCAGAATGACTTGACACACTGTGTGTTTTCAGTTGTGCTTGAACACAAAAACACCAGTGTAAGAGTATAAATGCCATGTGAGAGTGAAGGTGTCTGCCTTGGCCACTTTCTGGCCTTTCTATTTATTTCATTAACTTAGTTATTAGCTAGTCTTTAGTTATTGAACTATTGCACGATTCTGTTCAAACAGTCTGAAGAAGAAGACACAGCCAAAAAGAAGGAATACCTGAATGAACTGTCCTTGAAGACCCATGATGCCAACCTATTCTCAGCCTCAGCAAGCAGAGAGGCCCTCAGGAGCTCTCACACCAGAACTGTGGCTATGCAGCACAGCAGTACTCTGGCTAGGGAAGAAGCAAACAATCTTCAGGAGAAAAACTCTATTTTTTGTACCCCCACAGCCCTGTCTCGGGGCACATCATACCGTGCCCTTAAGGGGGAGTATGTCACTCGCAGCACCAAGTGCGATGTTTGGTCACAAACCGAGAGCTCTGCGACACAAGTAGAGAAGATGGATGTGGCCACTCAGTGTGACACCTTGAGGATGTGCAGCTGTGGSGGGTCCCTCCCCGCTGCCCGCAGCCCAGGCGGGGCCCCTCCTCCCAACACCGCAGGAAAGCATGAATGGCCGGTGCAGGAGGTGCCACAGCCCGGGGGCACCAGCAGCGCGGCCGGGACAGACGCCTTCTCTTCTGAGGCTGAGTACCTGAGTTTGGCTGGCAGGAGGACTTTAGAGGTGCTGAGCTACATTGATAAAATGAAGGAGAGAGAAAAGCAGTGATCAACTATAATAGCATGTAAGAAACTCAAAAGTTTTGTCCTGTTCCCAGTGTGTTTCATTCAATTGGCTTATTTTGATTTTTTCTAGCCAGGTTGGACAAAAGATATTTTTACTGTTTGTTTGCTGTAACTAGTAATAAGTATGAATTTCTGTCTATGTACTGCTATATCAAACTATGGGTTTCTAGAGGTATACAACTGTTAGAAAAGATTTTACAACAGCCCTGTAAATGCAAATATTAGGAATTAGATTGGTTCCTCACCATAAATCCATAAGATTCTGCAGTTTGGAATGGACTGACTTTATTTCTTTTAAGGTAGTGGAAATATGTTGTTTTACTTYAAAACATATTTAATGTGGCTCTGAGTTCAGAGCTATTGTCTGCTTCTTACCCATTTTAACAGACAAATTTGCTTTTTGCTGCATGTGCATRCCAAACACAAAAATGGGAAAGAACAGAAAATGTACATCTGTGCACATAGAATAGAATGTAATTTTAAAATAAATAATTTATTTTTTTTTTAAATGCTCAATTTTCTTTCCACAGGATTGACTCATTTTTTGGCCGTTAATACTAACAAATCTTTAATGTGTTTCTGTATTGTCTGTGAATTGAAAATCTGAACTACTTCCTTCTTCATTTCAGTATTTATGTGAAACTAAAAATCACAACAAATAAAAGTTCCTGATAATATTGTTTCTCGGTTATATTCTTGCCTTCTAAGAAGTTCCTAGTAATGCGGCAGGGAGACTCACTAATGTCTACTTACAGATCCATCCTGCTTCACTTCTATGTAGATTTCTCTCTATGTATATCTTAACTATGTGTGTGTTTGTATGTATATAAAAACCTGTGTGTCTGTCTGTGCTGGCATTAGCCAGCTGGCTGCATGCAGGGTTCCTCTTYTTCACAAACTGGGTTTGGGCAAAAGGTGTGCTGGAGTCTTCCTTAAACAGAGCASGAGATTTGCCTCTGTAAGGCTAATCTGTTGTGCTTCCCCCTTGGTGTCTGCTGTTATCTGATTCACCGTTGTTATTCCCGCCAGAACAGTRTATTTTCTACATTTTGTTGAAGGGGTGTGTGTCACCCAGCCCAGATGAGACTCATCACCATTCTTTGTCTCTGTTCTCATCATCAAACTAGTGGCTGTGTTTGCTGCTGGGTTTTATTTTTGAAGCTAAGAGCCATTTTTAAAAGAAGGTCTACATTGCTCAATGGTTTGCAGGTTTACAGCTGTGCTATTTTTAAAAATAGCACCTCAGAAATGTCAGTGGACTTTTCTGTGCTTGAAAGAAAATAGCATTTTATATGCATAAATTGCATACATAAGAAGTGGTTTGCACAGCCAGACTTCTGAACCATGTAACCATCACTTAGCCAATTCACTGCCTACTTCCTAAGGCTTGACATAAGCAGATTTTCTTTTTAGGTTGCCTCAATTTATCATCAAAGCAAAATCCCCAGTATTTTTTTAAGCTGCACTATTCATCTTGTTCACAGGAGATATAATTTATTTGAATAACAGCTATGATTTTCTGAAAGCTCAGTTGTTACCAGTGGCTTCTAAAGCACAGTTGTTCACTCAGCATGGCAAAGTCAATTCAGATTGTGCCACACCAGCAGCGGCCCGTGCTGGCTTGAGTGAGGACATCTCTGCTTTCCCARGAGTCCCTCACACCTGGCATGCCCCTGCCAGTCCTTCCAGGGGTGCATGTCCAGCTTCCCAGCCTCCCCCATCGCTGATGTGGCTCCACAGCACTTGGCCTGCCAGCCTCCTGCAATATGCTGTGGCAGAGGCCAGAGAGTGGCACGTTATAAGTAAAAGCTCCAGCAACATATGCATTAGACTGGAGGAGTTTCATTACCCCAGCAGATGTAAAATTGCTTCATGGCCAGAGTTTTTTGGTGTCTGGGTTAGAGAGGTGCTGAACTGACCCAAATGGAGATGAACTGCAATTAACTTGCAGTAGAACTTCTGCTCCTGATTCCTGTGACAGTGRCATTGTTACTGGGACTTTTAAACTGGCTAGTTTTACATTGGAGCGAGCTACCCAAGTTCAGGCASATAATCCTGAACTGCAGAGCTGGCCTCTGAGCAGACACATTCCCAGTCTTTGGGAACGTGCCTGTACCTATGAACCTATGGGACAAAGAATGCAGGTTGGAACTGGGAGAAGAAGGACAGTTGCACCATATGGATATATGTGTGAGGGGTTTCAAATGCTCTTTATTATCTCTCATATTTATCATTTAGACCCTTTCAGTGGTTATTGCTTATTTTCCCTTCAGCCACTGATACAGAGGCTCTCACAATGTGTTGGTTTGCAGCCAGGTTCCAGCCTGGATTGCACCGTTTCCCAGTAAGGACTGAAATTCCACTGCTCAGTGCCAAACACACACCCTTGGTCTGGCTGTACATAAGAGCTGCATATATGTCTCTAATGCAATAATTCACCACTTGGGATATGCCAATCACTGTAGATAATCATGTTTCAAAGCTTTCRGATGAGAGTGTATAAAATCAAATTACCTTACCATTTTACCTCTAATTGCAAAGCAATCAGAAGAAAGAAAACTACCTTTGTAGTGGTTTGTGTGCTGGCAATGATGACAAGTAAGGCAGCAGCCTCTTTTTAGCCACTAGAGAAGTATTTTAAACTATTTACTATTGCATTGAAAGAGACTCGTGCTCTCTGCTTAGCTCAGCACCAGTCTGCCCCTCTGCTCAGATGCTTTCTTTYCCCTGATTTTTTTTGTGACTTCTGGGAAGTGCAGAGTTTTGTTTAATAGGAAGTAGTAGCCTCAAATGGTGGTTTCTTCAGCKGCTAATTCAGCAGCTGATGCTATTATCCATCAATATTTGCAGCCTACAGTAATGACTGTCATCTCACTATGCACATTCAGGCACTATCAGCTTTCTCTGAGGCAACAGCTTAGGSAGAGACACTCCTTTTTCATTCATGTTGTACTTCCTGGCAGCATGCTGAGCTTCCAGGGAGGCCATGGAAATTAGACATGTTTATAACTGTGGTAAGCATCAACTGTAAGTACAGTTTTGTTGGGGAAAAGGACAGAAGGGTACCTGTAATTTACCAACAACAGGARCGTTTGTTTATTGGTGGCAGTCAAATGCTTCTAAATACAGATGGAAAGACTTCCGCTGAAAATGCTACTGTAAACTTCAGTCAGAATCAGTTTTAATATGAAGGTGGTAAGCTTTTTCCTCTCTAAAATCAGCTCTAATTACAAGGAAAGTTTTTCTGGGCAAGCACCAACAGAAGTTTGTTCATTAATGGGCAGTTTGTTGCTAGGTGTTCTGCCAAGAGCCTCCACAAACTTCGTAGAAATTCTTATTTCATTTTCATGAAGGATTATCAGTATAGGAAATGAGAGGCTGAAGTCTTCATACAGGTGATCATTTCTCTGGCAGAAACTGTGAATTGGATTTTTAAGGGTTTTAGCACATAGCAGATAGAGGAGGGATGAGGTTTCCTGGAAAAAAATATTTAATGTTCTGTATCCAATGCCCAATCTGTCCCCACAAAAGTCAATGACCCTTCTGCAATGCTTCTTCAGCCTCTTGTCACTGACAGCCTCTGAAGGGTTAGAGGTGACAATCCCGGTCACCCAAATCAGAGCTTGCTTCTCCAGGGCTGGTGATGTGGAACTCCAGCCAGGTCTCCTGACTGAGCTGAATACTGAATGTTTGCCCCCTCTGCAACTACACTGCAGTGACTCCACACCCTGCTGGTGCTTGCCCTGGGTGTCACAACCCTTGGAATGTGAGCTCTCACACAGCACAGATGGCTGCAGGGGATGCTGATACACCAGCTCTGCCTGAGGTGATGGGGGACCTTGGGCCAAAAGGGAGGGGTGGAGGATGAGTGAGTCGASATAAGGCAGGAGGGTGAAAGAGTCCTGTTAAATAATTCAACAGAGCTGAGAGAAAACATGTCCAAATCAACCATTTGTGCACATTTGCAGAGAGAGCTGTGATTTATGTCACTGTGTCATACTCAGTACATGGGTGCTGGCCTGGCCCAAGGACCCAGAGCTGTGGCTGATCATATGATAAACCAATACATCTTATTACAGAAGTTTTACTTCATTTCCTGGGCTGGAGTCATTATTGGGAAACAGAAGGTCTGTAAGGAGCTTTGCTCTCCAGAGAAGCTGCATTCCCTGCAAACAAATGCATTTTTAGAGAACCCCAGYCCAGCTGAAGCTGGCCAAGTGCAGGCCCCACTCAGAGCAGGGCCAGCTGCAGCAGGGTACTTGGGGCCATGGCCAGCTGCTGTCACAGACACCCGGACTGGGGCTGGGGGAAYGAGCCATGCCAGGCAGGGCACTCCAGAGAAGCTGTGCCTGCTCACAGCAGCTGCTCCAGATGGAGGCAGCCACTGCTTGAGCCATTTCCTCCCTGTGCTGGGGGCAAGGCCCGAGCCTGGGGCTGGAGGAAGGGAGTTTAAGGCATATGGGGAGGGAGGCTGGTGCTGCCCTGCCCTGCTCCAACTCCTGGGAGCACAGCTCCTGTCCCTCCTGCCCCATTTCCATGCAGCAATGAAGAGCAGCAGCRTTTCACCCCAACACCAATTTGTCCCYRAGTGCCACAGCCACAGAGCCTTCTCTGGYAGCAYTGCAGCCTTGGGCTGCACTAAAGACAGGCACTCATCACTCATCACCGTGGGGTCCCAGTGCCCTCTGCATTTCCCTGGGAATCCCACCGACCACMAGGAAACTTGACATATAGAGATAATACAATCTCACCTGGTACCAGATGAGGGTGGTAGACAGCCTTCACCCAGCTTACAGAAACTTTGCTTGCTCTTGATTTTTTTTCCCATCATTTTTAGCAGCCCATTCGAGGAGAGCAGTGGGAACTCAAGCCCCYGATTAGCTCCAAAGCTGCATGGGGCAGCTGCCTCTCCCTCAGCCCCCTCAGCCAACCTGCAGGTTACAGTACCCCAAACACCAGGAGAAGCCACATGGCACCAGACTGACCCTGACAGCAGTCACATCTTGTGACAATCCAGTAACAGGGCACACTGTCGTGTCAGACATTCTGGACAATGAAGGAGCTCTCTGGAAGCAGTCAGACAGTTTTGATGCCATCTCACCATGAATATATTAAAACAAGCATCAATTTCATGGCCAGGCTTATTCCAAGACACCACTTCCCAGTGGGGATCCAGCCACCTGCTGCAGGTCCTGCCCCTTTAGGGATGGAGAAATCATTTGGCACTGCAGGATGGCTCCTTATGTGACTGCCAAMAGCCTCCCCTTGGCAACTCCAGCTGTGCTGAGTGACCCTGAGTGAAGGCTTCAGGCGGAAAATCTGTGCATGGGATTTGGTGAGGGCTGGCTGGGGACATGGAGTCTCACCAGCCTCAGCTGTGGAAAYGGCTTTGAGAAGAAGGAAAAGCTGTGGAGATGGGAAGGCTGAAAAAGCCAAATGTTAAGAAGAGCAGGATGTGCAGGCAGAGCAATCCTTGGCTCACCCTGTTCCTGTACCTTGTCACCAAGCATGAACCGGCAGATGCAGCTGGGAACAGAGAGCTGACCATGGTAATTGGGTCTAATTCTCCTTATATATGTGGTCTTGATAGATTAGGCAATAAACAAAGTGCCGTGCAGCACCCAAAAAGTGTGGAAAAAGAAAAGTAAAATTAAGCCTATGAATCTGAGTCCTGTAAAAAAAACAACCCCATCTTTTAGAGAGAAATTTGGTCCTTTAATCTGCTGCTTTCTCAGCCCAGTGCCATCTTCTGACTTTGCCTCCCTCTGCCCAGGACAGCTTGACACTGTCCCCTGTCATCATGTAGTGGTGGGGCACGACACCACGTCCCCCCACTCACACTTCACGAACCATCCTCCATCCCCTACTTCCTTCAGCCTCTGCTCAGGATTTGCTTTGTGTTCTTTCTGCTCCTGTTGCCTTGGCAACCTGATCCAGTCTCAGTTCCACACATCACCTTGATTATGAAGTTTAGCTAATCCAGCTCCCCCCTGCACTCAAACTGCTCATGTATCTCCAACCTCCTCCCTGATGAGCCCCCAGATTCTCACTGTTCTTTCAGGCATGGACCTTTCCCATCCCTTCAGCYCCCTTTCTTTACCTTTAATGATATATAAGTAACTTTCTTTCCAGTGGGAATGGACACACGATTCACTGCTTTTGTGAAAGTGGGAGGCCTTCATTTTGTCTTCTCACACCTGAGCCCCCTCAAGGGATAAGCTCCCTTGGCACCAGTGTGCAGCAGCTTCTACGGTCCTTACACTGTGCATTTTCCCTACATCTTTGTAAGGATCATTTATTCAACATGAGCTTCTGAAGAATGATAACAGAACAGGGCTAGTTTGGAAACCTTTCATTTCCCTGCACCTTTTCTACCTGCAAAAAAGTGCACCTGAGCCCCTTCCTGTGTAGTGTCGGTGTTAATGTGTTCCAAGACTTTGGGCAGGTTCATTTTGGATGTGTGCTCCTCTTCCTTCCTTCATACAATATATATCTTACTGCTCCATCTATGACACCCTGCTTTTCTTCTTGGCTTTAAGGATTCTGTTTGAGCTTTCATGGGATATCACAGCACCCAAAATCAGAGTGTGCTAGTTCTGAGGTTTCCCACATGAGAAGAACAGATGGATCCTTGTATCCTCCTGAAACCCAGACCCAAAAATCTTCTCTAAAAGTATCCAAGCAAATTAGCCTCACACAGCCCTCCAGATTTTTCTCTCGAAATCAAGTTGCAGAAAATATTCCTGACATATAGTTCAGCAGTTAACTCTTAAAAGGCAAAAACTTTCCAAACTTCATGTCTATGCAAAGCCTCTCAATCACACACACACATGCAGTTACCGGGTAGATCACAYATGTCAAACAAGTGTAAACTGGCCCTGGAGACAACAGCCCTGGGATGAGACTGAGGAACTGCTTATGGCAAATGTGTCTGACTGGTTCTTGATGGGCTGAATGTGTTCGTCTGTGAATCAGGAGAAGAGCTGAGATGTCATTTTGGGTCAAGCGGAAGTGAAACTGCAGCAGGTGAAGCACCCCAGTATGTTTGTGCAGGGAGCTCTGTGTGGATGGGGACAACTGGAGGGACACCAGCTCAGGGCATGATCAGCYGCAGGTCTCTTCAACAAGCCCAGAGCAACTCAGCAGGTGACCACTAAGATTAGAGAAAAAGGTCTTTATTTTAAGCTTAACTTTAGGTTCCCCACTTACTTCCCACCAACTGTAGGAGCCTTGAAAGAAGCACTTTGTGCCTTGCACAGAACCAAAGGCCACACAGCACGAGTGACTTTAGCTTGGATGGAGCAGCACCCAGCTCTGACACCAGGGGCATCTGATCCTGAAAATGCTCACAAAAATTTGGAGCAAGTACTGTTACTGCCTGTAGTTCATTCTACAGCAGGGAGAGTGTGTTTGGCAAAAAGCAATCCATCAGCAGTTGCTTTGTGACAGTAGCTGGAGCAGAGAGAGATGGGAAAAGGCAAAAAAAAAAAAAAAAGAGTGTTTAACAGCAGAGCCACCAGATTTTCATTATCCCACAAAGCTGCCAAGTGGTTTTGGTGACAAGTAATATGAACCGCAGTAACTCATCACCTTTATAAGCCCTATCTGCCAGAAGCCTAGAAACAGAAGCTATCAGTGCACAGTGATGTGATGAGCTGCCTCACTCCCCTCCTGGAGATAAGCCGTGCCACAGACACAGGATTGCTGAGCAGTSTCCCACTGCCAGCATCTCCCTGTTGGCTGTGATCCCTCTGATTCCTGGACCAAAAAGCTACAGCTCTGTCAGAGCCARCTCTGGATCTTGCCAGGATTCAATCGTTGTAACTGTGGTAGGTGGGGGTAATGGAACCATTTTCCACTTGTTCCTTTGGGGGAAAATCCTCTGTTACACTGGGGAGCACAGCCAGGGCAGCCCCAGCACAGCAMGGTCACGGTCACACTGCTCTTTGTTAATCATCAAACTGATTCCAGCCATTTTCTTAACAAAACACACAGAGTTAGGACATTTCCCCATTAGGAAAGGGCAACTCCTGCTCTTTTCCCAATCCATAATCAAATCTAATGGTACAAATTGCCGTAAAGAAACCAGTCTGTTTGAGCAGAGGACATTGCAAACCCGTGGCGAGACATRGGGACAGTTGGCAGCTGTGCACAGCTGCATTCTGCTCTTCAAACTGATCCTCCAGAAAGGAAGGAACACTTACCTGGTGTCACAGAACCAGTCTCTGATACAAAACACATCATATTAAGATTATATTCGAAGTTATTCTTACCCTTCGCTTATTTCAGGCACATCCACAGCATATCTGAGTTCATTTTGCTGAGGAAACCTGCAAGTCTAAAAGGTGACCCAAATAACCAAACAAATGAAACCTTGAGAAAAAWTCTGTAATTAAGTATCTCACCTTTTATTTTGTGAATTTACACTTCTGGCACTGACAATTCTTTGAAGATATTTATTTTTATGTAAAGACCAAACTTCATTAAAGCAATCAGAAGTCAATTAAATAATTTTACATCACTTAAGTTTCAGAAAATGTACAACACTTTCATACATTATAGGCTTGACTGGTTGGAAATGGAAATGGTGCATGTTTGACATGGTTAGGAAATGACTTGGACAACCCAGCAAATTGTTTTGCCAAAATCAATTTTGTACTAAATACCATAGCCTGTGCCCAGGGATTACAGTGTGCCTGTTGGCACCATGTGCACATTACTATTCAGCATGGAATTATTACTATCAATTTGGTCCCCAGYAACATCTCAAATATTCTACATGGCCTTTGTCACACAGAGATCCGGTTAACCATTCTTTGGAGGAGTGAGATTCACAATGGAAAACAAAGATGTGTCTCGTGCCACCTCCCAGCGATGTCCCGGACCAGCAGGACACGGAGCTCATGGAGAGTATCAAGCACATGAATAATCCTCTCAGTTTCATGGGGACTCCTGGAACACTTGAAATCAAACAAACAGCAGGCGTGCACTAGGCAGGGCCCGCAGTGTAACGCAGCATCCCAGCACCATGAAACCATCTCATTTCACACCTGCTGAGGATCCATGAAGTTTCTCCTGCAGAAGCCACGATGATGGTCATACATTCAGTCCTCTCCAAAGTTTGTGTAATGTTTAAGGCAGAAAGAGAAATTTGCCTTTATTTTAACACTTTGGAAACAGAAGGTTCCTTTAGAAATAGGTGGACAATATTCATAATTCATCAGTATGCTCCTTATTTATAAAAATGTGATGAAARGTCAAAGCAAATTTTGACAAAATGTTGCTCAACAAAATCAAGGAGTGTAACTGAACCAGAGTTKAAGCTTTAAAATTACATGTGACAGATAATTGACATGTAAAATCCTGTCTAGGGACAATGTGGAAAAGCAGGGATGAGATGAAGTCTGAACTCTTGAGGCCTGACTCTTGTCAAACTTCCCCTGGCATGAGTGAGCTCTACTGAAGCCAGTGAGTGAGCACCTCTGATGAGAGGTGTGAGAAAGATTAAAAACATGCCGCTGCTTCACACTAACAGGTCATTGTGGCTAAAGTATATTCTCATATACAGAACTCTGCAACACTATTAACACCCATTTACAAAACACTACAGTGATGGTTATTGGCACATAAAAAACTCCTTCTCTATATGAAAACATACACAAAATATATAAGAACTGCCTTTTTTCAGACTTTTAAAATCTATATATAGTTGCCTTTGAGGAATTTTAACCCCCAGGATCACAAACAACAATATTTCTTAAACAATGTTCACCTAGAATTTTACTGTGCTGACATTTGTAACACTGCCACAATCTAGACCACTTGTGGATTATGYTTAACTGTACTGTACACAAGGTGATGAAGATTGATAGAAAACCACTAGGATTTTTGCACAAAAATATGACTTGTTAAAATCCAGAGAACAATTGAGTCACTTTATAGGCAGCAGCTACATGTAAGCTGTAAATGTTACCCGCAATAAAAACACATTTTGCCATAAAGCACATATTGTGGCATTATCTGCTTCTGGCCTGGTACACAAAGCTTGATTTTCTTCCCAATGCAGAKGAATTGGTTTGGTTAGCTTGACTCTCTCAGGAAAAAAGTGCACACATATCTTACTCTTTAAAGTGCTTTGCAGAACTRTCTCTTCTGCCTTGATTTCTACCCCAAGATTACTCTCTGCTGTAAAGATTCTGCCTCTTTTGCAGTAGTGATGTTCAGCCAACAAAGCCCCTTATGCAGGTAAAATTTCAAGACAAGGATGCTAGAAGAGCCTTGATGTGTAGAAGTTGAAARCTGGGTAAAAAGCTGAGAAATACAGGGTCTGTCTTTCCTTGCCCCCTGAATGCCTGTGGGACTGCACCSAACACTCCCATGGCCTAAGGCAAGATGGTTGCTCAGGTTCTGTAGCAGCCCCTGAAGGTAAAAACTTCTCCCCAGTGCTCAGCCCAAGTGACTAAGAAGGGCAAAAGAGATTTCACCAAGGAAAAATGTGCTGGCTTTGGCAACTCCATTGCCACGTCCCCACCACTCCTATCCACAGCACCAAGCACAGTCCCTTGCCCCACCATCCTCAGCCCACAGGGCAGACAAGTCAGACACTGCTCCTGTTGGCAACAATAMCCATCTCTAATGAAACATGACTTTGCAGTGCTTTTGATGCATCATTTCTTTCTGCTCCTCTCCCAACCATAACTCCTACATGAGTGAAATACTGCATTACCAATCCATGCAAAAGTAAGTTGGTGTCRGAGAAAAGGTGATCCAGCCTTTCCTGCACCACAATTTCTGCCAGCATTKTCACTGCACCTCCCAAGGATACAACACCTGCCACAGTGGCCAATCCAAGGTGCCCCAAAGCAATGCAACTCCAGCCCTCCAAGTGACTCCTGGGCCTTACTTTGACTCTGCAACTATTTTCAAAACAAGTTTGGTTCTCTTGTTAAAAGATTATTTTGATCAATAAAGTGACAAGGGGAAGAAAAAAGTGGCAAATTATCTCATTACCACAACATATTTTGAATTTCAGCCTGCTGAACAAGCTAACATATGAAAACTAACATGAATTAAATTTAAAAATATTAAATATGCATCAGGACTTGTTTCTTTTATACTTCTTGTTAACTCACAACATGTAGAGTCAGTAGATAATTCAGAATTAAAATACCTCAAATTGTTGTGTATAATCAGTATGCCMAATTTTACCAGCAGTATTACTCAGGCACTCCTGATGCACAGAATACCTGAATTAAGTGTGCAGTCCTTGTGAAGAAACAAGTTCACATCTTCTGCAGTAAGCTTTCAATGAAAGAATATTGTGCTTAGACACATTATTTATGCTACTTCATAAATTAAAATCTTGTAACAAGAAATTATTCTGTTACACTGTATTTTTATTCTTTTATCTGCAACGTTAGTAAGTCTACCTTTAGCAAAAATCTCTTTAAACTTAAAATACACATAAATATAAAAAAATATTTGCAAAATAGAAACATTTATCTAATTTTCTTCATAAATTCTAAATGTTCACATATTCTAAAAATAAACCCCTAACAGTGTAAGATTAATTTGAAGTATCTGATCTCATTTTTAATACACATGATGCTTGGTACTATGTTCAGTGTTTCTAAGCTGTGGAATGTTGTAAAGCAACCCTAAAAGGAAGACTTAAACCAAGCTCTCTGTGAGCTCAGAACAGGGAGGGGCAGTAAAGCAGCCAATATTTTGTACCCTCATAGGCAGTAGCACTGAGGAATAAAACACGTTTCAATTGCTGTGTCTTGTGAGAAGGGACAGGGGATACAAACCTTCAGAAAACTGTTACCAGTGACACTGAACCTGTGTGAGAAAATGAGCCCAGTGCTGTACGCGACTGAGCACCGCTTTGGGAACRTCCATGAACCAAGACTGGCAGAGAGGGATGGTCTTCTGCTGCTAAAAAGCCCCAGCACTGCCTGCAAAACAGAAGAGGCTGCTGACCCTGTGACCATGACCTTTCKGGCAGCTCCAGTTGTGCCCAACACCTGCAGCAGTTTCCTGTCCCTGTGGTCAGCGCTGACACCGCGCTGGCATTGGGACACCGGGTCCCGCCTTGCTCCCACTCAGAAAACACGTCAAGCAAGGGAACATTCACAGGTGAAAGTGAGTGTGGGCTCGTGCTTTTGGGGTGATCAGAACACTAAGTCCCCATCCCCAGAAGGGCAGCAAATACCCACTTAAATCTACCAACTGCGTAAGCACAGGTTGGCTGTTACACACTATTCACACACTGCTCTAGGTAACTAATCTACTCTGAATATGGGTCTCCAAACATATTCATATATTTTGGTTTCAGAAAGAAATGAATTTGTCCTTAAAACAATTTTGTTCTTGTCTGTTCCAAGTTATCTCTTTTTCTCATTTCAAGTACTGCACCTTCWGTGCAGGCTTCAAAGAGGTCACAGCCTAACGGAGACATCCCGCAGCAGGGAATTTGTAGAGATCTGAGGACCTGAGCATTTTCAGTGGATAGGTCTGGAGATCTCAGCATTTCCTAGAGCTGGTGCTTTCAAGCATAAAAATATTGTGCGCTTAAAAGGGAGGCAAGATGGAAGGCATGAGAATCCAGCCCTCTCTCTGCTCAGGAGATGTTCAAGGTTGAGCTGCTCTTTGCAAAGATTCATTTGAAATTCCCTCTGTCCACTATGTTTTCCCTTTTAGCCCCTTTAGTCAAATCACAGAACGATGCTTTAAAAGGTTTTCTTTCCAAAAATATTTCTCTGATTACCAAAAAAGGAAAAAGAAAACAAATTACACCCAGTCCCTGAAGGTCAATAACAGGAGAATAAGAACTCCCCCCATAGAAGATTAGATAACATAAAGTCAGACTTCTTTAYGACAATAAAACCCCACATTATTCAACAAAAATAATTTAGTAACAAATGTTCAAGGCTTGGTTTTGATAGCAATCCTACATTAAAAATATTTTTCAACCCAAGAAAAACCCACAAACCAAATCTATAAAAGCTAATGAACCTAATGACTTCTTTAATCTTTACACAATGAAAAATAAACACATTTTTACCAAATAAATGGGTGTCAGCCCACAGGCAGAGGAATTTTTCTACATTCTTGCATGAAGCAAATATTTCAAAGATAAGAATTTGAGCTGTTGATTCTTTCAAACTCCTATCTTTGAAGACAAAGTAGTGAGGACAGGACAAGGGAAAAAAATAACATAATATTTTTATGTAGCTGCATAAAATTCAATTTGCCAAGGCAAGCAATCATGGCAGGCAAATAAAATACCATTCATATTTTCATTACCATGCTAAAGGCAGCCAAATTAGTTTTGTGCCTGGCATTTTCTTGACAAGTTTGCAATGCTTCAGTAAGGCAATTAATATGAGATGCAGGCTTCTGCCCATTGCTAATATTTCTCTTTAGATCCAGCAAGACAGCAGCTGACTAAGGAAATTTGAAGAAAAATATGCTGGGAGTCATTTACTCTGCACATATGGAGATAAACTGAAGGCAATAATTATTTACAAGCAAAAGGCACAGGAGGGATGACCACTGTGCATTTAGCAGCACAAACCCTCTCCCCTCCTTCTCCTTCTTGCAGCTAATGTTATTTTTGTGTTCAAAACGAGGCACAAAGCAGTATGTTCAAATGCTAAAATGGAAAACAAATATATTTTTTTTTAACTGAAGCCTCTACGTTGTACCTAGCAATATACACCAGTGCATTTGTACATGTGGCCACATACTGAGCTGTTTTCCTGCTGTCAGTAATTAATTTTGCCAGTTTCTCTCCCAAATGTAAACTCCCAACTGCAGTGTGCAATCAGGAGCAGCCATGGGTGGATAACCCGGTGTCACAGACACACAGCACCCTAGTGAACCCCCATCCAGGTGAGYACGGCTCTCTACTTGTTATCTCAAATAAATAATGGAAATTCTCATTGGGTAARTTTGGGAAATGTCCCCTCTGATGGAGACAGCAGGTATTTGTATTTTCCCAATCAGTTAAACCTTTTAAATGGTTACTGTTACAGCAGCTTATGCATCTGTCCTTCCTTGTACTGCACAGCAGAGCTACTTCCTAGGCCCCTGTGGGATGGGGATCTGACAGCTGTCAGCTGCTTTCTCATCAGCCACTCCATTATTTTAGCTTTTGTCAGTATTGGAGATAAGGACAGCCCCTGACCATCTAGGATAGCCTTCTGTATTCATCTGGTACAGTGCACCCTACAAAACACCCGGGGATGGAGCAGTGTCATACGCACTCRGTAAAGTCACATAATTGTGGAATTCAATCTCTTTTGGAAGCCATTGCTTTTAGTTATCAAGAAAACGCTAGCATATTGAATTTCCTCCCAAAAGGAGCATTTTTGAACATGAAGGCATTTTAAAATACGCAGTAGAAAGGAGAACCAGACCAGAAGCAGGGCAGTGAGGTCATCAGAGAGCTTCTTTTCCCCCAGAAGGCTTTTAAATGATTAAATACATCAGCAGCTGAAAATTATTCCACATCAGAAGCATCATTGTCAGAAAGATGGTAATTGCTTCCCTTCACCCGAATATACTCGATATACCTCCCTTCATCAGAATCTGACATACCACATGTACATAGCCTGTTTTCAAACAAAGATTCAATTTCCTCTAGTTTTTTCCCTTTAGTCTCAGGAAGGCAGCCGTAGATGAAAACCAGTCCCAAGGCAGCAAACCCTGCATAGAGGAAGAAGGCTCCTGCAATGTAAAACAATTGTCACAGTCAGTTACAGAGATTCTCATCCCTCCTCTGTGCCAGAGCAGAGGGAGTGACAGAAGCAGCAGGCTGTGGCTTCAAAGGAGTGTSTAAAAGCAAAGGCTGGAGCAGCAGGGTTACAACAATGAGCTGTGGGCTGTGGGTGTAGGAGGAGGACTCTTTATTGCCCCATTCCACAACAAAGCAAATTAACAAAGGCACTTCCAATTCACATGGAAGATAATAATACTCATCCTTTTCAGGCACGTCACTCTGCTATTAAAATAGACAGCAATTAGACAATCACATGCCCAATTTAAAAAAGCAGATATGAAAGGCAAGAGCTTTCTTAGTTTGTCTTGACAGTGAAGGACACATTAAGAAAACTCCTCAAAATTAAAAGCTCTAGCAAAAGAATGAGTCAGGATTAAAATAATGTTTGTGACTTCTACACGTAATTATTATTTAAAAGTGCTTTGTGGTGACAATTAATACTGAGAAAGAGCTTTCTCCTGCCCACAATCCACCATACCTAGAGGGGCAGAGCAGGTACCAAAGGACCAGCAAACATTTACCTAGTGTTGCTAGACTGATGGCTCAAAGGAATAACAAGTAGAGCTGAAAGGCTCTGTACTAGTAAGGATCTGAAGGTCACATCAACTCCCTGGCAGATTAATGGAATTTAAATGACTTTTACTGGAGTGGCTGAGCAGGAACCTGACAAACACTCCACAGGCTCCCACACACAGCACTTTATCAACAGCTGTATTTCTGCAAGTACCATCTGATACTGGCCTTGGATGCCACCATAAACTGGAAAACTGCAGATGCTGTCACCTGAAGTTGGAATCAGCATTATTTCACTAAGTCAAAAGTGGGTTTTTTCCAGTTCTTCTGTTTTAATCAGCTGTCTCGGTTCTCAGCTAAGGACAGAAATGTTTCTTAAGAAATCAAACACTAAGATCCAATCAGGTTATATCAGATCTCTAGTCTTGCTGAACCACAGTGGGTTGAGAACACTGCTTTGGCACTTCATACCAAAGCCAGTGGAGGGACCCAGAATCCAGAGAAAATCTGTGTGCCTATGGCAGTGCTGCACACATGGACACCTACTGTTACTTACCATAGTATGTCAGATATTCAGCTGTGTGCAGAAATGTCAGTGACACGAGTACATTGAAAACCCAGTTGACTCCAGAAGAACAGGCGTTTCCTGTACTTCTAGCCCAAAGTGGATAAATTTCAGAATTGACAGTCCAGGGCATAGGACCCATCCCTAGGAATTARGAAAAAAAAGAACAATCTGACTTTAGTGGCTGGACTCAAAAGTAAATTTAACATGTAGCGTCACTATTTGACATTTTAAACTTTTATGCAAAACCAAGTATTTTCTTACCAGGTGCAAAGAAAACCAAATACAAAATAAGGCCCAGAAGTGCTGTCCAAGAGTACGGAGTGGGGCAGAAATTGTACGCCCAAAACAAATCTTCCTTTTTGAATACAGTTTCATTTGAACACCTGAAAATCAACAAAAACCTTTTCATTAAAGAATTGTCAAGGCAATAGTTGACATCGCAACATAAACATCGCAAGTAAAAGCTGGCAAATGTACAAGAAAGACAAAAAAACTTAATGCCTGTCAATTTATCAAGATCTTCGAGCCAAGATCTACATTCAGAAATGTCTTTTTTTCTCAAGTCTGGTCTTAGGAAGACCAATCAGCAGAATATTCCTGAATTTAAACACTTGCCTTGCATTTACAGATCTCCTTCAAACAACCAGTCTTTACTACACAAGTGGTGATAGCAAAGCCAACAAGACCAATTCACAGGAATGTCACAGTGCAAAAACAGCTGCAGCAGCAGGAYTTCAAGCTAAAGACGCTGYACACAAAGATTTAAGGTYAGATGGAAGTTGGTYCTTCCATTACTGATGAACCAACTACATGCTGCACTCTTCAGGTGTAATCAGCAATGGAGTGTGCCAAGGCCAAGTGAAGTTAGAAAGAAAAGAGGTGTGTGTTTTCCTTCCTACACAGTGAAATAGTTTAGAAGGCAGCATTTGTAATTAGCTACTGAAAGAAAATATGTCTCCATTCCAAAGAACACGTGGAAATTCCGTATTTCAAGGAAGAAGTATAAGATTAGGTATTTCCCTCTGACTGCCAACAAACAATATAAAATATTTTAAAGGAATACTGGCAACTTCATTTTTTGTTACAATTTTTTTTAAATTAAYATTTKTATAAAGGAAGAAGTTATAAATGTAACTAGTGAAACTTTTCAGCTGTCACCACATCAATTGCTGGAGATGAAAAACCCCATATTTTYGTGAGAGAAAACTTAAGCAGACACTTCTCTTTCATATGCAAACAATGTTATTTACTTGAAAATAAGAAATCACAGAAAGCTGAACATCTGCCTGGGTTGTGATTTCCAGATCAGTTGAGCATTTATGTGAAGAATATGACCCTCTTGACAGTRGGGAAACCAGAATGAAGATACCTGCAACGGGCAATAGGTGGGCTATAAGTCGTGGAGATGGTGGAGCAACAGCCACCCTGAAATGCTTCAGGGTTGAACAGCAATGTGCTAAGCACTGATGAATGTGCCCACCACCACTCCTGGGGCAGGAATCTTCCTTATCCTGTCATTGATTAAAGGACAAYATTTAAAGCAGGATATCATGGTGAAGTCCCAGACCCAATTTCAGGACAGCTGGAAATCCAAAGTTCCAAAACATTCAAAAGGGAAAGGTTAACCCTACAAACAGTGGGAAAATGCATATCTAAAACCCTGGACAAACCCTAATGCTGCCTTTTTGCAGTAACCTGTAAGATTTGCAGTTCCACCTTGCACTTGAGCAGCAGCTGGTCAAGTGGAGAAATTCTGAACCCTTTAATTTGGGGCTGGCAATGCAGCCAGTATTGGTGCACACCTTTCCACCTTTCCACAGCTCTGCCTTGCTGAGCTCCCCTGGAAAGGTCAACTCATCCAGGGAATTGATTCATTTTCACTCTTGAGGTGAAAAACACACAGAAAACAGGTCAGCTGAACATCCCTCTCAAAGACACATCCTTYGTGCCTGGATACAGACTGCCCCACTGCAGGAACACAGGAGTGCTCAGTTTCATACCCTTTAACATCATCACTTTTGCTTCTTTTGCTGTAACTCAAATTTCATTTGCAGGTGTTTGCAATGAATACAAGCTGATGAGCACTTTTAAGCATCTTCATGCTGAGATTGATTTCTCCATTCTGCCCAGCCAGATTGGCAGCTCTGCAGAGAGGGCCTCACGCTTTCTCTCAGACAAAACTGTACACAAAGACATACTTGGTTTATTAYCCTGCATCCATCTCCATGAGCACAAACCAATGTGCTGATTCATGCAGACACAACTGCAGGCAGGTCAGCGTGTTTCCCTCCCCTGCCATCTCTCCCCAGTTGTGTCCTACTTTGGACAGAGTGGAACACAAATGATACAAGGGAMAGCCAGATGTCTCCAAAGCCTCCTGTGACTGAGCCCACTCATCTGTTCTCTGCTGTCTGCCCCAATAGGAAATTTTATTGCAAAAAAAGCAGATTCAGTGCAATGAAATGGGAAAAACGGCACTTGAGACTAGATTTAATAGAAACCTGGCAGTAATAAACTGTRCTTTGCTTATCCTCCAGTTGCAAACCAGCATGGTACACAGAGTAAAAGCAAAGACATCTGTATTTGCTGGCATCTTACAGTGCAGGGAATGTTAAAAAAATAACACTCCTTCAAGGCTGGAGATTTGTTCAAGCTCTATTACTGTGCTAATTCTACTGCTATACCACCTTTACTGTGAATTTCTTTGGCTATGTGTTTTCTACASGTTACTTAAGACACACATCAGTTCTAATTAGTAAAAGTCTGACCAATCAACAAGTGATGCAAAAATTTCAGCTGACTGGAAATAAATGAGAAGAGCAGTAGATTTCTGAATTACAAGCATTATATGCTCGGTTTCAAAATCACAGGGTCCATCCTCTATGAGATATGGTCTGAAGCTCAAAAGAACTAAAACTTTGCTCTCCATYTCTTTAAATTATCTTCATGTGACACATAAAAGAAGGTAAGGTAAAAAAAGAGTTGGGGGGTGGGTTCTATAATATTATTGCAAATAACAGGAGGATGAAACAGGATAAAACCATTTTCTTGGTAATTAATGTAAATTTTTCTAATTTTCAAGCCATTTCGGCTGTACAATAATTCTGAAGACAACACTGAAAATTCCAGCATGGGAAATGGCTGAACAAGACATAGCACAGGCACAAGACAGAGACCAATTTGATTTTCTTCTCAAATTTCCATTAATTTTTGCTCTGCTGTAGAATGAGGACTGTCTAGCCCTAAAGATACAGTTTTTTGCGGGAATTAATTGTTTCATTCTGAACAGTTCATATATTTTTAATATGAAAGCTGCTGGCTTCTCAWTGTCTCTAAGCCCTTCAGAAGCATCTTAAATGGATTTAGATCAAAAGTMTTAAAAGGTCAAAATTCAAATCAAGTCAGGCAAAGGAAATTACTTCTGCAGAAAATTGCTAATGTGATCGTCCATCTCTGTAAAATGCTTGTTGGAACAAGCATATTTCAAAATTACACATTCTGCTCTGAGATAAACTTTGACATCAGGTGGTGATGGCACAGAAAGATTTCATAGCTAATTCACAGTTTCACTAATCTCCCATTTCTTTGTTCTAACAAGAGTAAAACTACTTAAGGACTGCTCATATGCCAGATTTTTGTGCTTGGGTTATCAGGATGATGATAATCTACAATTTGCCAGTTTAAATCTCCAGCATAGCACAAATATATTTGTTTTACTAAATATGTCCTTTAAAAAGATTTTTAGTGTCTCCTGTGTAGAGTGCCAATTTTTAAATCCACTGAACAATATAAATTTATGCCAAGTTTTTTGACTTATGTTTTCATCTGAAGTCTGTCATGGAAAGGACAGAGGACAAAAGAGACATAATTTGAGTAGATGCTGTTTGGACAGAGGAAGGTTTTTGTGGATGATACTTGGGAACAACTAAGATTATTTATCCATAAGCAATTACTCATCCTGTAGAAAAATCTGGACCTCAACATTTGGGTTGGTTCTCATAACTTCAAGTCCCTCTTCTTCTGCTAAAGATATTTAGTTGTCCGAATAAACCCCCAACTATCTCAGAGGGCAGAATTTAACAAGATACCAGATGAACTGTAAAATAACTTGGTGGTAGTTAGAAATGTAACTAAGGAGAACTTTGGAAACCGCCYCTACCCTGTCCATCAGAGGCCTCTCAAATCCACCCATGTACATCCAAAATAGTTACATTAGCACAACCCATAGAAACCAGTTAAACYATGAGATATGGTWTCACTATAAATCAGCATATTCTGAYWYAAAGAAAAATCCCTGCTCCTTTTTTATACATGTGGCAAGATGCTGTCTAAAGTATCAAGCAACTTTTCACCTGAAGGTGAACAGATTAATTTAAACCTGACTAATGTCTGAACCAATAATTCCTAAGCTTTCTCAAAGCTTTCCCTAGCTACAGTCATCTGTGCCTCAGAGGTTCCACATCTCTCTAGAGAAGTTTGCTTTATCACTTTGACTTTATGGTTTACACAGAGAAAGAATTCATCCA